TGAATTGAAATTTTGTTGAAATTAATTTGTCTAAAAATATAAATCAATTCTTGTTTAAAAATTGCAAATAAAAAAAATTTATAGTGTTTTTGAGCAAATTACTTATACATTAAATAATCTAAAGAAAAATGTAATTACCCCTTATCTAAAAAAATTATCTAGAAATTTGCCTGTCATCCACACCAAAAAATGGAGCAAAATAAGGATTTTTCTAAAGACATAGTTGTAATTTGTAGTTTTTTATGAAACACTTTCTAGACAACATTAGAAAATATAATATGTTTCTGTCAGTTCTATCTTATTAGTTAATTTATTAACGTTCCAATGAAAAGTTATGACAGTCGCTTTATCTATATTAAAATTTATAATTTATATTACAATTCTCTTTACAAACTAATAATAACAGTTCCCAATGCATACTAATAATAGCAAAACAATAATAATTGAGTTTCCAAATGCACTAAAGCTGTAAACTAGATTAATTGATTTGGAATTAAATTAGAGTGTGTACGGCGATATTATAGTTTCATAATTGGGTTAATACATAGCTCAGAAATCATAACGTAAACTAATTTTAAAACTATATGATTACCTTGTCTGTGATATGTTCAAAATCAATAAAATTACTTTATCAATTAAAAAATATAGGCGCAAACAAGACAAAAACTTTTAAACTAAACTTTTAATTAAATTTTAAAACTTTTGTATTTTGTTAGACACTTGTCATTTTGTTCTCTGTTCGATAAACAGCAACGTAATCGTCTGTAAACTCCTCCTGTTTAATTAACCTTAAATCCGAGATAATTTCAATGAAAACAAGTCGGGTCGCACCAAAACCATCAATTAGCGCAAAATGGACCTCATTTGCAATTTTTCTTAAGCGGATTCAAACGGTGAGATCATCCCTTGTTAACGCCCGACTGCAGCGATATATTGCTGTTTTTTCCTCCGTTTTATTGCTTACGCCTCTTGCAGAAATGAAAGCGAGCTTCCAAAATCGTACTTTTATAGATTTTTTTTTTCATATGCTCAGAAATATCAATACTAACAAAATTGAGTTCTGGTTTTGATTTAATGTGATCGCTGAAAGCTTTCCCTAGAATAAATAACTCATTTATGTTTTAAAGCAAATTTTAGCAAATAATTACAAATAAAGAAGAAATAAAAGCTTGCTTGTTGGTGGAATAAAAGAAAATTGAATAATTGAAACAAAGCTCGATTTGTATTGCAACAAT